GAGTTCGTTTTTACCATTGGTTGAGTTTGCCATGAACGATTTAGTTCATTCGTCTACTTGAGTTAAAGCCATTTTTTTATAAAGAAGTTGCGACACTCATAACAACCGCTTTGTGCGATAAGTGATGTCTCACAGATAAGTGGGGTGAGGCTCGACAAATCGTTGCCTCTCGAATCGATACAATCAGTGATGCGAATGTGAAGCGAAAGTACAAGGACGCTCTCGACTCATACATGAGTCGTGTAAATGTGAACACAAGTGTTCGAGATGTGATGGCGAATGCGCAAGATATGCAAAATGTGTCCGGAGATATACGAAGTCGTCAAGGCATAATCTCTATTTGCTGAGGATTATGTACTACTTTGTACTACGAGAGCATGCAGTCTGAAGCTTGTGAAGATCGAAGCTTTTGCCTCGCTTCATTGATCCATGCCGAGTAGTGTCATGCCATGGGAACGCGTTCACTATCGACCTGCCAAGCTGGCTAATGACACAACCGACGGTTTTTTAGATTATCTTCAACCTTATTATCGCGACGACGCGATTGCCAACTTGGATTTTACGCAAGGTCATTATAACTTGGCTTCAGAGGCAAAGCTTCGGCGCAAAGGTTAAAAGTTGAAATCCTTGGTGCCGTTGCCTTAGCATCGCCCACGGAAGAACGGGAATAATCGGGAGCACCCGAAACAGAGCGAGATTGCTTTACAAAAGGCCTCACATCATCAGCGGAAGCAGCTACAGCAGAAGGATTGATGGAAAAGTCTGCTGCAACCGATGGATCCGATTCTCGATTGCATTCTCCAGGCGAGTGACCATGATGCCATGCGAAATCACAAACTTCGCGAACGACCGATCAAGTATTCTTCTTGCGTTGTCGTGTCGACGATATTCGATCGTCTCCTTGTTCAGCCGCTAGTTCATCATCGAGAGAGGCTTCTCCGCCTTCTTTAAATGTAGTCCAAGGTGAGCGAAAGCTGTGGGCCAGCCACAAAAGATGTAAAGGGGACCCCGGCAACACCTCCCCCTCTTTTAGATCGACAAAAAAATACTTCCACATCGAGAACGCGGTGGCTGTCGCGGTTAGGAGCTACTGGCTTAATAACTGAGGTGCCCAGCAAGCAAGAATACATGTACATGTGGTAGCCTCAAACGTATATTCGTCGCGACTGTCCAAGTATCACTTACGCGCTCGATGCGGGTCCGTAAACGGACTTCGCCTATGGATGCTGTCTCTGACTCTTCTTTTCTGGTCTCTCTCGTCGTGAAGTCGACTGATGACCGAGCACACTTCACGAATATCCTCGATATCGCAGTGGACACAATTCTGCACTATCAAATACACAAATCGAAAGCGCCTGTCGCGCACCTTCAAAAGTCAGCAGCGGTGCTTGCTGTTTGTAAACGGTGGGTTTCCACAGATTCGGTCGCATGGACCCATCCCAGAATCGAGTGTCGATTGCCTAGATGAACCCAGAGAGACTGCTGGACGTATGAATCATATATGAGGCTTTGCGGCTTGCCTCTAGCGCCCCGATGGCGCGAAGATCCACGACTCGCGTCATCAGTCTAGAACTCATTCGATTAATGAGCTCGTCAAGATCTAGGGTGAATCCACCACGTCATCTGTAAACGTCGTCTTGATGTCCAGGTTCGCGATAGCGCAAATCCGTTAAATGACGTGGTATCGGACTGAAGTCCAAATTAGATGGTGACGAGATCTCATGAGGAGTAAGCGTACTCTGGCAAGAGCTTGATATGGTGATATGAATAGCGGAATATGAAGGAAGAAGAGTTTTTAAGAATTGAATAAACCCACATCTACGTAGGGGTGGTGTTATAAGTCAGGTCCCATTACACATATTGCTAGATCACACAATTTGTGTTGCTCACATCAACTGTACATCCTGTATACTTGTGTATCCTCTCTCAGTTCTGTCCCATCAGAAGCGATATTACTATTACCTCAAAAGTTAGTGATGTTCAAAATTTATTAGTTATAATAGTAAATGTTACGTCACCTTCCCTCCCTTCTATGTACGAGCAACACGCGTTGGGGCGTGTCAGTTGATTGAAGCCTTCCTCAGAGAGTGTGTGTACAAGGACGAGCGATTCCCGTTACACTAACGCGCTCCATGCTCGCGTCAAAAGCGCTTCTCTTATCTGACGGAGGTGAGCTCACGACTCGCCTATGGTCTCTCAGAAAATAAGAGCTCGACACCTCGACGCCTGTTGCTTAGCCATCTAGTTGATTCTCACTCGTGGCGCTCCAGTCAGACCATGCTCTGTGTTAAATCACATTCCTGAATATAGCCCCAAGACTAACCAATATTTTTCAGGTCCTCGATCTATACATGAAAGCTCAACATATTTTTCGGCATTTACACCAATGCCCCCGTCACGTGTTACGTATCCGTATTTTGACATCGTTGATGCCCTCGTGCTGTTTTCGACAGTCGCGTATCGTACAGACTTGCACGACACTTCAAATCTAATAGAACTGTTTACAGCTTCACAATGCCCGAGGTTCGATCAGGTACAAATCGGATGAAATACAATAAATCAGCTTTTATGCCGTAAGCCGCCCTGTGCGTACTGGGACTTGACGTTTCTCCGAAAGTGTCCATCGTCCGCGTTGGAGACCGGCAGACCCAGCGTTTCTTTCAGCCGCGAGCAATGGGGCACGCACGGCACAGATACTGCAGATGTAACTCTGCAAGCCCTGCGGAGTTGCTCATTACTTATTTGATCTCACTATCCTTCTTCAGCATTGCTGAGCTCCATCGATTTTGGCGCGCTCGTACATCTAACATTGTCAGCACCTCATATTGCATTCGCAACACGGAAGTTGTGCCTCGCTCCAATTTTTACAACTCCTACCGCCTCCTCGAAAAGAAGTGATTGCAAATCTTCTTATTGCGAGCGTAATTTGTTTGTAAACCCATCGAGGAATGTGGTAGCCGTTACCTACTCCACGACAGATGTCAGACAGCATTGCGATAGTGAGAATCCATTGCCCCTGAACATAATCCGCCAGCTTTGTGCCTCTCTTTACAGGTATTTCTACGTTGGTAGACGCCTCTTTGATTGAGGTTTTGCAAGTCAAAGTCCATTCTCGCGTTTGAGCTCCTAGCTTGGAGTTTGCAAGTGCAAAGAGCTAAAATTTTGTTTAGATAGGACCGAACCCACGACCATCTCAGCTTTTCTCATAAAAAATGAGAGACATCTTCTATTTCGGTCGTTTATATCCTGTAAGCTCGTCATCAAAACTGAATTTGTTCGTCCATCAGCTCCCAGCTGGGGTTGTTTCGCCAGCTGATCCATAACGAAGTTAAAGTCTGAAAGCCTCAAAACGTACCCTCCAACAAAGTGCTAGTCAGCTGATCAGAGCCGCCCCCGACAAAGGCACAACCAAAGAATATTTGCACCAGTACGCATTTTTTTAAGAAGTGCCATATCCTATTGCGAATCTGATTACGTATCTCTGCGTTAAGGAGGAGTCAGTAGATAAAGAGAAAGCACATCACACCCATTTGAGAATCAGATTATCTTAATGAGCAAAAAATTGACGACCGCTGCCTGGAGTTGTGCCGTCTCCGCTATTTTATATGGCATAGCAACTCTGCTCCTCTCAAGGGCTTTGTCTCATTCTTAAGATGTATAGAGTTCATAAGCCACCGTCAGCAACTAGCTGCTTGCATGGGGCCAACCATTTCGTGGCATTAACGAACGACACTCAGTTTGATAGAATCTTTTGTCGCAAAACAACAATAATGCTACTAGTTTGTATTGCTTCACTGCTCTGAATATCATTGAATAAGCTCATCAGGTCTTGCAAGAAAAGCGTAGACTGAAGTGACCTATATAAACGTTCGAGTATTTTATCTTATTGCCGCATTCCGAGGTTGGCTAGAGGTCCTAAGCTCAGCTTCAGTATTGTAGTCTCACGCCTAATGCGACAAGATTATCTACATTTGCACTTTGCACAGGGGAAGCAGTGACATCTAAAGTTTGCATTGACAAACGAACAGAGATTAGTATGGTGCGCCACTACAATGAGCGGGATCGGAAGCCTCCAGATAGATTAATTGCACTGTGTATAAAAACCCATCAATGTAATACTAATGCTCCTTTAACAAATACTCTATAATTATATTCTCCTCTCGCTTGCTCAACCAACGGTTCATTACTACCCATGAGTGAGGCATATGAAGCAGCAACGGTGGGGAGATCCTACACTCTGTGATTTGGATCTATATTTGGTACAAATACTCGGGGAAATTACTGTCAATTTTTGACTTAGTCCGCTCAATGAGTGAGGAAGAACAAGCGATCTCGCACGTTAAGATTTGACTAGCCATCTCCAGCGAAGCGAATGTCCGCCTAAACGTCATTTCATGCTTGGCATACCAAAGTTCATAAAATGACGCGGGCATCGGGATGACTACTAGCCATCTCAAGTTTCGGAGCGCCGTTCTTCTCGATAAGACAGTAGTAAGTGGTCGCTCTTTATTCCTGGGTCCGCGCTGCGCAGGTAAATCTGTCTTTGAATCATAAGAGATAATGGCAAAGGATGCGCCAGGTGGTAAGCGGAATCGGCATCTTTAAAGTATCTGAGCAATTATGTTGCTGGATGAGATTCTACGATATTCGACTTGAATACATTTTTGGAAAAGTAGATCATAAAGAGAATAAGTTATTTTACAAAATATTATCATTGTATGATAGTTTTCAGTAAATCGGTACTACTGATGTCTAAGCACCACCTTGCGCACTTCGTATGGACAAAGAAAACGTTTGAATTAATTTGAGTATATAATTTGGTACAAAGTTAAAGCTCTATCGTTATTCAAACTATTTGGACAGATTGTAGAAGTCCAAACATTAAAAAAATACTTCTTGTCGCTTAAGGCGCTTTGTAGAAATAGATGCGCAACCCTGCGTACACCCGAGAAAACTAGCCTATTTAATATACTCAATACATTTTTCCGACCGGGACGACCCATGAATGTACTGCTTATTGAATGGGAAGTCAGTTTCAAAAGCACTTTTTTTTATTTGATGACACAAAGTGCAAATCTGATCGATTTAGCGCCGCGCATCATTCTCTGATGACGCCTACTTTGGAAGACTCAACTGCATCACATGATCTGAAATTGTTTTCTGTTATCCAAACGTTGCCGTTCCTTGACCATGTAAAAGTGCACCTCATCCCGTCGCATGTGATCTTGTTGAACCTAACTCTTTGTCGCCATCGCGTTTTTTTCCACTAGAAATGTCATCTTTCTTTTTTCTTCTTCAATGATTAAGCGGATGACATAATTTCAGCTTATGAAAAATATATAGTTATCAGCTTTATGTATGTAATTAAGAAACTGTAGCATCAAGTATGCGCACCAGAGCTTCTCCGTAGCTTTTAATTTCGCCAACTGCCGCAGGCTTCAACATCATCCTCCTGCTCTGACAATAATAGATGCAGTAAACTCAATTCTCACACCGCATTCAATAAGACAAAACTCACTATCTCTATCATCTCTTACCAATGCAATTCTGATAACGCTGCTAATTTTATCAATATTGATACATAGCTTGTGCGTTTCATGCAGCTACAATGATCTCCAAAACGAATGCAATATCGTTAGTTCAACAGATGCACAAAGGTCAAAGTTCTTTAATAAATTATAAAGGCCCCGAAATTGTAAGTTCTTACTTTATACTATTTAAGTTAATGACAGCACCATGATTTATAAGCTAAGGCCCAACCTTGATCTAAAAGTCTTGGCTTTGAAGTTTTTAAGCGTCGCGATGTGGCTGATTTATTTTGGCCTTTAGTTTTGACACGCAATCACAGTATGAGTTCAACTCGATTCCAAAAACAGCATCTTGCGTACAGACAACAATGTGTCGATGTCTAAACTTGCTCGCATACAATAGCTTGAGAAGTTCATTACAAACTGATTCTGTTATGGGCGACGTTAAGCTCAATCCGATTTTCGCAACTTTTGGGAGAGTACTATAGGAGTTGTGCGTACCAGCAACTCCCGATACGATATCTCTTGCTGATTTCTTTGTCATGGCGATCTTTATGCTTTGTAACCGGGTAAGCAGGCTAGCTCGTGTACTTACAAAAATAATTACCCAAATGTATGGTTTTGTACAATATTACAAAAATAATGTTGCTATTTTGTTATATTGAGAGTATACATGGTCTCGTAGTAGCTCACTCTTACAAAGTCGGTCTAAATATATTAAAACTTCAAATAAATGTACTATCAAATGACAGAGCAAACTAAATTAAGCACTCTCGTTTTTGCTCATGAGTGGAACGTCTGGACTCAATCTCTGTGCGTTTGTTAATGCATACACATTGAGTCGAAAACTCCTCTGCGCAAAATGCATAGTTACTTTGTGCATTTGCCAGCAATTGTATGAAATCCTAAAAAGGAGACGTGAAAGGACAGAGTCCATTTGCTGTACAATGAGATATGGTAGTAAGTTTCTTACTATCGTTCGATTTTAGTCACGGATATCAAATCCACTGCATCTTTAGGGACTTGTAAATGTTTGATTCTTACTGTAACAATTATAGCGCAAAATATGCGGAAATGGCACGGCCATTGTCTAATAAAAGGAGACTTCCTTAGAAAGGATGCAGATGTAGTTTAAGTTTCTCGACTAACGTTTAGATAAGTTGCCGCTTGCCGATCTCAGCCATTCACATTGAGTGAAAAGAACCTCAGCACCAAATATGCGACAGACTGATTTACCAATTGATAATTAGCTTCTTGAGCGATCTATTTGCTAACAAAATTTCAAGACTGCTCTTTTCACAGAAAGACATACGAACAGTTTCATACTCTTATGTGGCCAACATTTCCTTTTCAAAAAGACACGTTCTATTACAATTTTCGACAACGGATCATGTAGGAAATGCACACCAACTATTTTATTTGGCCAGATTGACAAGAGAATAATGAACAAGAGCTTATCGCCCAAATGGGCACCCATTGAAAATGTTTCGCATCAAAATTTATCTATTCATCAGGGAGCTATTTATGTCATTGTTTCGAGAGTTAAGGCCAACGTCTACAGTAAATGTCAGTTCTATAATCAAATTACAACGCGTTCGACGCAGATTCGACGTAAAAGACAAGTTTCTGGTATTTTACAATTGATAGAAACCGAGGGACGCATTCACGAAAAATACCAGTTTTTAACTGGGGGTGCGTTAAGCCTTTTTCGAGTCCTATGCATCTTACGTTCTATACATATGAAGAACATTTTGTTAATTGTTGAGGTATAACAAGCAGCATGTAAGAAATATAAAGCACGACACGATATTGATATTTTGAAGTTGTTTAATGGACATTACGTGAATACTGATCTTAATTATCATATTGGACAGGTCTGTGCAACCACGAATCTGATCAATATTTAATTCGCAGCGATTGTAAAGTAATACGTCGGTCAAAGGCACACCAAGGCGAGAACGAAATAGGCGTAGTTCGATAATTTGTTCGGTTCTCCACGTCAGAAAT